TGCCTAAGCCGTTACAGATTTTTACGTTGACGCATTTATCTAGTGGCTATGTTTTTATTTTATACTTGTTAACCTTAAAATATAATAGGTTTGCTGGCAGACATTGCAATCACTTTTGATAAGCGAAATTATTATTGTGGAAAAAATTATATTTTACACGATTTTTGTTATTTTGGTACTCTAAACGCAATGCGCGATGACACATAAGCTATCAATTATTTTGCAACTCGTGTTTTCTTCTTTTTTTTTTGGCAACAACTCAAATTTTATGAATAATAATAAAACCATTAAACACGCAAAAATGAATTAGGTTTTAAAAGTTTTGATGTTTACATTATATGTAATTCATTAACCTATTTTTGACATATTGTTTACATTAATTAAAACGCATTTAAATGTTTAAAAAGACCTATCCAGAAATCCAAACCCGAAACATGGAATATTAGAACAAACGACTTGTAATTTATTCTTAATACATTAGTTTTAGTATTGACTTATTGTGTTTTAATCATGGTGACGCATTTGAAGGGAGTTCCTATCTATCATTTGTAGAAATTTAGCATTATATTCATTTCAGTTATGTCTAACAATTAATGTCCAACCTACTTTTATATACTTTTGCAATTTGAACTTAATTATCAGCATTGTAAAACAAAATTTTCCCTTTTTCTAGAACTCAAAATATGTAAATTGTACTTAATATTTTTTTTTTAATCCAAATCTGACCTTAGATTTTTTCTCTAGGACGTCGTTAACTTGATTCCATTAAATCGCTTCCATTATTACAATATATTCCAACATAACAAGTGATATACCAACAAAGATCAGAAAATATGTCTAATGTAATTTTGCTAAATTCTACATTACTTTTATAGTCCAGTTATGAATCCAGCAAATGGAAAATGTATATAAAAAATGTATGCAAGATTCCTTTTAGAAATTCATTCAAACGTACAAAAATAAAATCAATCATTCTTTGGGTTTGATGTGAATGATAATTACACACATTGGTGATCCTAATCCGAGCCTGAAGTTTAACAGCTTATTAACCTGAGTAATATTATTTTTTTTCCAGGTAACAAAATATACACCAGAGTCAAGATCTACGGTACGGTACAAAAATAAGCAAAATTATTATCAGGTGACAATCGCGTAAAACCGTTACGATATTATTCTTATTCTTATCTAACGCCAAAGTCCAACTAAATCGCACAGCAGGCTACGTGCGGGCAAATGCGTTTCGTACAATAATTTCCATTGTATTGGGTACTATCTGGTGGTAATAGTTTTTTTTTTTTTTTTCAAAAACAAACAAGGAGTAGGAGGTATAGCTGATATATTATAATAATATATAATACATTCGTTTGTTCGAGAAATTAACTAGTTATATGTATATTATATATTGTTTTTAATGGGTTATTTCTATTTTAGAGAAAACACCTGTCTTTATTAAGACAATAATGTTTACCTGGCCAGCACCGACAACGATAGCCTATAACCATAACCATAATAATAATACCGTCTAATGTCTGGAAATATCGACCGCGTAGAAAGCGAGTTCTAATCACATATTTTAGCCGCACGATTTTTCCGATTTGCGTGCAACGAGGGTCATGCGAAAAAATTACCGTGCTTCTCATGATGTGCTACACCAGATTCTGTGTTGAAAACCAAGTAAGTACACCGGCGGTTATGTCTTGAGATGGACAATTTGGACGCATCGAGCAAAATATTTAACAATACAGGTGATGTTAATTGTTTCAATAACTCCTTAAACAATTGTAAAACAAAACTGGTATCATTTTGATTCTTATCATTTCAACTTTCCGTGAAAATACAAATATGTATGTAGAAAATATCCTACTTGGTTGTTGAAAACATTTCCCACGAAAAGACCGAATTTGCATACAAAATTCTTCACGAATTTAAAACTGTCAAAAACTACAAAAACTTGGACACGTCTAAAAATGTGCAATCGTATTGTGTGTTTACAAAAGTCCTTACAGTGATTACAAACATATCCTGATTCGTGGTCCCTCTCTCACTTCTCAAGTACACTGTACAGAGTATAGAAAATCTTTGCCTATTATTTATGTATTACTCGCATAACAATATAATAGCCGCCGTTAGGCACAGACTGAACGCTTCGATTTACAAGATACATTTTTATTTATTTTTTTGTCCGACCCAACATATTATAATACCTTGTCTGAGAATATAGTTTTTGGGTTTCGCATTATATTGTTATCAATTTATTATCATGCGACCAACGCGACACCGCATCGTCACTCTAATACCTATTATTATCATTTATCCATAACACCGCGCGCGATGCATCCGCCTGTCTCAAGGTCGACCACCGACCGGCACCCGAACCCGTCTCCAAAGCGAGTGCATTGCAAAGTCTCGAGATTTGGTGACAAGCAGCAGCACGTATATTAATACACATTAGACAAAACTGCACAACGTTGAATCCCGTGGCAGATATCGCTGCTATATTCACCACAGCTGTGAAACAACTCCTCTCGAGCAAAAAAGCCATCCTACTGATGAAAGCTAAATGGGGTTCCATATAGCATTGGGGGCGTACACGAGGTTATTTTGAAGTGTTTTAAGTACACGATTTCGGGATCGATTGGGGTTTCTCGGGGTGCCTATAACAAATAATATGTTCCTGATCCCAAATCACTTACCCTGTGCGGGGCTCGGAGCACCCTGTGCACTGCGGCCATCTGGTTGATCAAAGGCAAAGTCAGGCAAAACGAGTGCAAAGGCGGCGCTCGCTGAGGCTCTGGCACGTTTGCCGAGTACTCGAACGGGTCCGTGTCGTCCACGTATTGCACGCGGCAAGTCAACGACATGGTTTTGCAAAGCGGTAAATTATTATTTGTTTGTCTAAGTTCCTACGACATAACCGGGAGCACTGTTGTACCAATAACGATATCGTATTGAAAACCTTAAAAAACGAGACACACACTTGCTAGGCCGTGGCGGAGCGCGCGCGGTGCACTGAGATCGGTTGCGCGGACCTGACTGTTGTCTTTTACCGGGACGCCGCCTGCCGTCGCCCCGCAGCCGGCCCGGTGTGGTCAGCTGCACCGCGGTGAACCGCCGTGTTCCCCTCCCACACACCACGTTGGTACTCTAACCTAACCGATCTTATACCTGAGCAGCTGATGTACAGGTACAACACAAGACCTGTACATAAGGCGACCTGCAAAGAGACGGTAGGTACCTCGAAAAATACTACTACCGGATACGTTGTGGGTAAAATAGACACGGCCGGTGCGGTATCGGCTTGTGTGTGTTTGTTTTGTATATTTTATTTATTATGTTCTTTTTTTTTTTTTAATAATATGATTACGCTTTGTTTGTTGTGCATACCTATTAACTACCGGCCGGCGCCGACGAGGACGTCAGAGTGTTGGAAAAAAACAAAACAAACAATAAGTGAAAGCGTACCTACGTGTCTTAGAAAATTACTCGCAAATACCGTTAAAAATATTACAGAGACTTATTATTTGAATAATAAATTACATTTATTTATACTTAAGGCTATTGGGTACCGGCCAATTTTTTCGTCGAAAACTACCCATTTAACTTCAATCGGTCCGATCGTTGTATATTCAAATGTGTTTTCAAAAGTCTTATCGCTTTTGATGGAAAAATCAACTAAAATGGCAAAATTATTTAAATTAAAAATAATACACAATAATACCACGACGCTTGTACAAATAAACCGGTAAATTAATTGACACGGTCGAAATTGATTAAAAACCATTTTTTTCTTAAATATTGCCTATACAAAACTCCTTAAAAATTGGCCGGTACCCAATAACCTTAAAAATATAATATAACTAACAGCAAAACCCACAAGCAACGGGATATACACAAAAACACCTGTTAGGCACCTGATAAGGAAGTTAGCCCCCCCCCCCAAGTCATATCCGATTCCCTCCACACTATCAACACCTGTTAGGGTCGAACACATTTTTTCTTTATTATGCGCCTCTTTAATTATTACCAATTACTTCTATTTTATACCATTCTATTTCAATACCCTCAATTTTCTCGTTTACTTGTTAAAAACCAAATTTAAAACTAATTAATTAAGGGTACATAATAATAATACACACTCATCTATCCAATTTTAATATAGGCAGATTAATTAACCAGATTATTTTGTTATTATTATTTTTGATGTTTTTATGTTTTTATTGCGGTAACACTTCCTCCTAATAATTAATAAATATTTATTAATATCTACTTTAAAACTACAGTTATTACATTATTCGAATAAATTAAAAATGAAATAGTAATTGCAATAATGTATTATTTTTTCCATCGAAAAATGCCCAATTCTTAACGTTGGTACGATTAATTGTCGGTTCTCCATTTAGAACTCTACTTACAATTAATTTTAGAAAATGTTTCAAACGTAAAGAACACTTTACCATAAAGCTGTATTTCTTACAATGTTGTTAGGGTGTTTTAATAAATAACTGGACGTGCTAGAGTAATATAATTCTGAAGTCAGATTTAGATTCAACAAAACAGATGTATTTTTGGTTCTTGTTCCAAAATCGTTGCGTGCAATGTAATTTTTAATAAGAGTAATAGTGCTATTACAGAATAATAGAGTGTAATAATAACGGAAATCCAATATCGACTGACAAGCATAGTATGTTTTGATACTTTAATAAATACAGTCCAATACTAACCTAACTTGAATATGATAAAAATTGTCCCAATTACATTTGCATAATGCACCGAAAATATAAATAAAACCAAACACAACGTTAAAAACTACTGTTGATCATTTTTTTTGTAAATGTATTGAATAGAATAATTTTTTTTTTTTTTTTTTAGAATACTATCATATCAGTGTAACAAAAAAATAATCCAATTAAGGCGATACACCGTGTTGGCCAGTGTGATTTGTTGCGAACACTAAAAGACGGTCGATCTGTTAAAAATATATTATAATATTATGCGCTTACCGTACAGAGTTTGTTTTGTATGGTCGAAGTTTGTGCTCGGCTGTCGTGAATGTGAACTTGATCGACTCCAATTTCTACACAGTCGTCTGTATAAAGATAAGAAAAAAAACATAGTTTAAATTGCGTTTTACACATTTGTTTTTCTATACGAATTTGCGTTTACCCGAATCGCTGTCCGGCGGAGTTGTCGGGGCTGCAGGCGGTGGTTCTTCGTTTCCCAATATCTCATCTATGTTTCTACAGCCGCCGATGAACAACATTAACTGGTCCAGTTCGTCTTGCAAGTTCGGTTCCTTCGCCCCGCTGGCAGGCCTGTCTTCCGCGGGTTCTTCTTCTTTGACACTATCGACACTTTCGATTTTTTTTATTCTTATGGACGTCCTTTTCACCCGGACGAAATCGTCGTCGCTGTCGTTTTGTTCGCCCCACCAATCTGGACTACTGTCGACCGATTCGTTATTTTGTTTCGAACCACAACTCAAAGCGTCTCCCGTACTTGTCGTGGTGTATTTCGGTTCATGACTTGGCGATTCTGACTCTTCGCTGGCCAACCACGACGGGCTTTCGTACGAGTCCATTTTTCTGACACCTCTGACCGGTGCTAATGGTGGACTACACGCTGCTGTCATTGGGTTTTTTTTGCATCCAGGACTGTCGGTAGACACGCTTGTATCGGTGTTTTGGTAGTTGTCTGCCCACCACTGCGGCTCGGTAAAGTCTGATGTCTTAATCGACGACGGGTCGTCGTTATGCCACGCATACAAACGTCTTACGTCCAGACAATTGTCGGTTTCGTCCGAGTATAGATTTCCATTTTGCTTGGTATGGTGTTCTTGAGGCCCGAACCCGTTGTTTAGACTCCACTGATTAGCATTACCGCGGTGCGAGTTGGGTTTGTCCAGCGAATTATCGCTGGCAGAGTTTGCTTGTTGGCATTCGTCTGCAGACAGCCACCAAGGACTGTCAAACGAATCCATTTTTCTCACTCCATAAGACACATTCTGGTCACCTGGCTTCGACTCGTCAGTAGTATTTTTCTCATCGTTCAACCACCACGGAGCTTCGAACGAATCCATCTTCCTGACTTTGTGCGCGGGACTTTTCACTGATAAAGTACTGGCATCCGATTTGTCTCCATACAATAGAGAATTTTGTAGAATGGCTTCTTGTCTTTCCACCTCGTTCAGCCATTGTTTTTCATCGGCATTGTCAATGCGCCTGAAACCATTTGTCGGGCTTCTGGACATACTGTCACTGTGCGACAACGAAGGGTCGTGTTGGACCGCATCTAATAACCATTGATTTCTGTCGGAAGAATCCATTTTTCTTAGACCGTACGAAGGATTTCTGCTCGAGGTAGAATTACTTTTCAGCGATTCCGAGCACGACGTACTCTCCGGATACGACAGCGCGTCTTCGTGGTTTACCGCGGGCTCAGTCGCCTCTTTTAACCATTGGTGTCTGTCGGACGAGTCCATTTTTCTGATGTTATAAGTAGGAATTTTACTCGAGTACGAACTGTCCGAACTATGTTCCCTGCTATAGCCATTACTGTCCACGGACGACTGTTGTTGTTTGTTGTTGACGCTTTCTTTATTACTCAAATCTTGCAACCACCAAGAAGTTTGATCCGAACAGTCCGTGGGTTTCTTTATCGGATACTGCGGTCTTGGCGTTTCCGAGATAACCGCTACACCCGTGACCGGTGCAATACTCCTAACGGTGACTAATTTAGGTTCTTCCGCTTTCCGACCGGACGGGGGTTTTTCTTCGGCCGTACTCGAAACCGACGGGGAACGACTGATGGACAGCTCCTCGCGACTTTTTTCCGATGACCTTTTCCTAGTCCTATTGGGTTGAGGTAGTTTCGACGAATCAGCCCCGCTCGAACGACACTTGCTCTGGTTGGAAGAGTCTGAAAAATGCGAATCCTGGTCTTGACCTAAACGGCAAAAACAAAAAAAACCCCGTTAAAAATGCACGCTGTACAGGGTGTTCCAGCATGAAAGATAAGTAAAAGGTGAATCGACATCAGGGGGACCCCCAGATAAGCCCCCCGTTTTCAAAAAATTGAAAGTTTCGACAGTTAAGTAAAAAAATAATGACTTAAAAAGAAAAAAAGTTATTCCCTGTTATTCAGTGCGAAAAGCTCACCTTAAAAGAGGGGTCACATCATTTTCATTCCCTTTCGGCCCCTAACTCTTCTCTTATCACTTATCTTATTATTTATTTCTTACCTCTAGTCTCTTATCATTCATCACTTATCACTAATATGTTATCATTTATTTATTATCTCTTGTTTCTAATTATTTACTTCCACAGATATATATATAGTAAACTAGATTGCTAACTAGCAATAAGAATTGAAGCCGACGGTCCGCCATTCTGGTGGGATTTATGTGTGTTATCAATGGATAATATATATATATATCTTTATATATTATTATATCAACATAATATATATCTGTGATTGTGATAAACATATATTATTTTCACGTGATAAGGTTCTAATTCCCACCAAGATGGCGGAAAGTGGCTGCTTCAATCTTCTCTATTGGTGGCATGTACAGTTAGCAATCTAGTTTATTATATATATATATATATATATATATACTGTGTTTACTTCTACTATCTTATCATTTATCACCTATCTCTTAACAAACTTAACAACCTTTAACACTTATCATTTACTTCTTATTTCTTGTATCTAATAATTTTTCTCTTATCATTTTTTGAGTTAGGGGCCAAATAAGACTCCCCCTCTTTTAAGGTGAACTTTTTCTACTGAATAACAAGGAATATTTTTTTTTTTTTTAAAGTCATTATTGTTTTACTTAACTGTCGATACTTTTAATTTATCGAAAAAATGAAAACGGGGGGCTTATTTGGGGGTCTCCCAGATTTCGAATCACCTATTACTTATCTTTCACGCTGGAACACCCTGTATACTAAGCCGTGCATATCATACTACCTGAATTTTCACTGGTCGAACCGGAATTATATCCGGGCCTGTTGCCTTTGTACCTAGTACCGGCGACGGGTATCGACGACATTCTTACACTGGGCATACTCCTTAGGAATTTCTCGTCAGTCTGCAAGTTAACGTGTACCGTGCCCCGTTGGAATTTGCGCGGTACCATCGACATGGTGACCTCTTGTTGGCCGGCGTGCTTGCTCCGAAGGAACGTACTGTGAGCCGGCGGCGTAGGAGACGTGCCCCGCGTTACCACGGATACCAAGACGTCGGCGGGGTTCTCGGTGGGGATTTCCGGCACGTTACACACCCCGAACACTGTCACAGGGTGCTCCTTGACCGGACTCCTGGCCGGCGACGACCCGTACCGGCCGCTGGTCGTGCCCGGTTTCAACGACGACGGTTTCTGGCCAAAGCCGGACGCGGCTATCCGCATCCGTTTGTCGGCCAACACCGCTTTGTCTCTGGCCATGGTGGAAAATTTGTCCTTAAGTGCTGTGACGGAACCGGAATCGCCGTAAGTACGGGTCGGTAGTGCCGAATTTCCGGTCAAGGCACGGTACGAACTGCCGCTTAGGAAACGACTCGGGTTGGTGCCCTGAAAAATTTCGGCATAGGCGTTGCATCGCAGCAAAACTTAACGCATTACACACTTATGCCCGGTTGCACCAAAATGGTCGTTATCTATCGGTTAATATTATTTAACACCATAATAAACTAACTTTTGTTAAACTTTATCTTTTGTTAAATTGATATGTGTTAAATTTACAAGTGTTTCTCAATCGTTGTTTTATATTCGGGTTATTACCTACCGGTATGCTGGTTAACGAATAAATGGTATCAGTAGATATTATGTTTTGCCGGTTCTGGCTCACCTGGCACCTGGTGAAACCTAACCCAACCTAACCTAACATAACCTACCTCCCATTTCTCCACCTCTCAGACATTCATTCCTTGTAGTCGAGTAGAGAGAGGAGAAAGGGGCGGTAGGTTATGTTAGGTTAGGTTAGGTAAGGTTAGTTTGAATACGTTAGGTTTCACGAGGTGCCAGGTGAGCCAGAACCGGCAAAACTTATCTACAGCTGGTATCAGCAATAGGAGTTAATATTATTAACATACAGGGTCCAATCAATGATAAACTGATAACGCACATTTCCGTTATCACCACTTTAACGCTGAAAACATTGATAACAAAATTTAACTATACATACATTTTTACACAGCGTTAAATCACCCTGTAAAATTTAACTCGTGATAAAGTACATTTTTGACAACAGATAAAATGTTTAAAACATAGTTTATGCGACAGAATATTTTATTACAACTGCAGTTAAACGAGTTTATCTCTGTGTAAATATTTGGTGCAACCCGGCCATCAGTACTTACCGACGAAGACGATGACGTGGAAGAAGGGCGTTCCGCTGTCGACGGATAGCTCTGGCTCGGGGACCTCCATGGCGGCTGTTGGGGGGAGGGTGAAGTGAAATAGATGAATTTATATTATTATTAAGTGATTATGATAAATAGCTTGTGTGTACTTACTCTGGAGCTTCGATACGACGACGTCATGCTCACGGTTGCATATTATTATCATCAAGGCAAGGCGTGTATAGCAGCGGCTACAGTTCGACTGCTGGATATGAAATGTCAACAACGCAATGTGCACCGGAGTATTGAACGCGTGCCAACAGCTATGAACGTCCACTGATCCCGTAATGGTTATTTTTGTATTGGTCGCAAAGTGCCTAGTGCGAACTTGAAGCCAAATCTAATTGAAAACCACGAAAATTACACACAACGCTTGTGCGCAAATCACGTGTGTGGTGGGTACCTGGTAACGGTAACCGGGTAACCTAACCCGGTTATCTGGTATTCGGTTGACAAAACGATTTATCTCGACACGAATAAAATGTACTTATTAAAAAAAAAAAAAGATGGAAAACAAAAGCTGTTGTAATATTCGAAAAAGAACATATTATTATATTGTAAACTTTTAAAACAAAATGGAAAGTTCTGGAGAATAGAGCGGACCGCTGCCAACGAGGAAAGACCGACCTACACTGTGCGTGTCTGTTAAGATATAAAAATTATAAAATGCCGTCCATTTGGAAGATTGCAATTGAGGAAATTTGGCAAACTAGCATTCTGTGTGTCTGTCTATCACGCCAGGCCTCTCCTCCTTCTATCCCGAAACCGCAAGCATTAGTCCCAGAATACAATAATGTTCAGTTCCGCGGTGGAAACTGCCAAAATAATAATATACCAGTGTATCTGTGTGGCGGTCGTTGCCAAAACACATTTGTATAAATTTATGTACAATAGTGTTTTTTATACTTCTAACACGTACACGGCACGAAAGAAAAAAAATGCGTTAGAATTATATTTTAATATTTTCCTTTTTATATACGAAAATAGAGCGAAACGCATTTCCCTATTTATCATGACTAAACCGAAGACAGACACAGATAACACACCAATCAAAAGCTATATAATATAAGACATTAATACATAGTGTGTGATGATCACACACAAGGCCTAGCCGTTTCCATGCCTTCAATATGAATTCCTAATGTAAGTTTGACATTGCAGCTATAGTTAGGTATTTGAACAAAAATAATATATAAATATTATCAAATAGCGAATTTGATTGACCACTCATCTATTCTTCGGTAGGCATTCTTTAAGAACAACACCATTGGCCTTATGTATGATTAAACGGTATAGGTATTTGAAGTATTGCAGTGAGTGTACGTGCGGCGGCGCTTAAGGAAAAGTACGATGCTTATTTTTAGAGTGTAATAAAGTCGAAAGTGTACACAAGCTTAACAAATAAACTAATGGGCGTTTTCATTAAAAAGTTAGCTGATGTATAATTTAAAAAAAAAACCGTAATTACTGTAAGCCTCTTTGCTAGTTTACTGGCTTTATTTAAATTCATATTTTCTAAAGTAGGTTGTTAACTGCTGCTATGATGATAATACATAATATTATTATCATTAATCTAGTTATCATATTTTTCTACTATCTATGTTCTACATTCAACAAGTAACAGCACAGTACAGTAGGATTAATATTATGCTATTATGAAAATTAAACATATATGTATGAATTATATTTGTCATGAAAATGACATTTTCATATAATGTATGAAAATTATTATGAGATTGTAAGCCAAATTTTAAAGCTGTTGTTTACTACCTATAAAAACTATAAAAATTATAATTTTCATAATAGCTCGGTGACGTTATTTCTGGGATTCATTTTGTTTACATTAATCTGAAGCGGAATATAACTTATGCATATATGTATAGTATATGAGTACTGAAAAATGTATGGTATTATTGAGTTTGCAACAACATGTTTTTATGTGATTCAGAATAATAAACCAACAAGCACCAATGCATACGGTGTGAATTTTTATATATTATATATAATTATAGCACAAAACACTTGTATAACAAACAAATCGTTTTTATGTAAACAACGTTGAACCCTTATTAAAATTAAAGTATAAACCTAAGACTGACTCTTTAAGTGTGAGGGGTAAAAAACAATAATGTGAACAATTGAGATCACATTCTTATTAAACCCTATGAAATATACAGTGGTTCACGATAAAATCATTACCCTGAATTGGACATTATTTGACATTGGTCAAACTTTTTTTCCTAAGGGGAAAAAAATCTGAAAATTAATTTTGACGGTAGTAAATTTTAAGTTTAACCAAACCACAACAAAAATTAAAATATCTAGTAATAATTTTTATTTAAAAATTCATTTCGGACTGATGTGTAAGAAAGGTTAAGAATATCATCATTTGATAAAATAAGGCAAAAATAGAGAGAAATAAGGTCCAGTGTTTACAGATACATATACAAGTATCGATAAAATCTTTGTAACTAATGACAATTATTATTTGATTGAAAATTATTTTTTAATATTAGGTTGGATTCGTTTAGGGTTAATCGTCTGTCTATGAAAATGTATTACCATAGATACCCATGTATGGTAATTAACAATATGATGACAATATTATGTTGTATAATTCATTGAAAATGTCATACATTGAATGGACAAGCGTTACTACTATTTGTTTAGTTATGTTCAATTTATTCAAAATAATATGTTCTGTGCTTAGATAATATCCATGTTAAAAACAGTGCAGTGGGGTCAGGGCATAGTGGGGACGGAGCATAGTTGGGTCGGGGAATAGTGGGGACGGGGAGGTTACAGTTTTACAGGAATTTTTAAATCTGAAAGTGATAAAATCACTTTCGAAAAAACGCTTCGATGCGAATCAGTAATTAATATTTTCAAGCCAGTAAAGTCCAAACCAAGCACAGTATAAACCAGCAAAATTAGAAAGTTTTAAATGAAGGTTCTGTATTTACAAATGAACATCAAAGCGTTTATTTGAAAGTGATTTTATCAGAGAGGACTAGTAGAGTATAGGCATAATGTAATCAAAGCAATGAGGAAACGGAGAGGTCACAGGTCTACAGGAATTATTATAAATAAAAGTGATAAAATTGAATAAAATCACTTTCAAATCTCTCAACTGCATTAATGTCACACTGTAATAAGTAAGAGTCATTAATTGATTTAACAGATCCAAGTAATTTGCAATCATCAGTATATATAGCAACTATGTAAACAAAATGAATCCCAGAAATAACGTCACCGAGCTACTAAAATGGTTACTTAAGTATTACACTGAAAAAGTGATTCACACTGTATGCATTGGTGCTTGTTGGTTTATTATTCTGAATCACACAAAAACATGTTGATGCAAAGTTACTGTTGACACAAACTCAGTTATACTCCGCTTTAGAATAATGTAAATATCGAATGTTGCTTGTGTAAATAAATTCGCATAAACAATTTTGAAAAACATTTCTAGATTTTATTTTTTTGGACGACACGATAAAGGCCATTCGGCAAGTCGTAAGTAAACCTTCGCAGCAGCCGGTTTGACTATCGTTGCAGTTTTTTAAGTAAGTAATACTACCAAAATGTCAAAAATGGTAAAACTGTAAACTTTTAATATGTTTTAATAAATTTTAATTATTTTTCCGCATTAGATCTTCGATAACATTTAATCAACTATTCCAAGTAATACTATCAGACTTCAAAAGTTGTAAGTATGCTTTCAAACAGAAATAGATGAATTTTAAACACGTTTGTCTAATAATAATATACAAAATTATAATTTATTCTTGATATATTAAACATATAAAACAAAATTTCTTTAAATTTTTTTATTTTAAATCAGTTTTAAAACTAAATTCCATTTTTTTAAAAATTAAATCCTGCAGGGAGTGCAGAATTATTTAAATTTGGATTTAAGGATAACTGAGAATAGGGACATGCCTGATAAACAATCTATTAAAATGTTGTCTTAATTCGATAGTTTTCCGCTATTTTATAGAAAGCTAACGTCAAAAGTTGAAAAACTAATCATTTTTAGCTTCGATGCAAAGCGAGAAGGTATTGGTTTTACTCTGATGTGGGTTTTTTTTTTCGCTGCATACACTGTAACTTTTTTAATACTTGACCACTTCCTTCGAATAGCAACTCTATAAATCACAAATTTTGTCTAGTTTGTACTTTGGGGGAGTAAAAGTTGAATAAGTTTAATTATTCACAGACGAAAGTTGAAAAAACAAAAAAAAAACCGTACGAGTTTTTAAGTTAGAACTTTTAATGGCTATAATTTCGAGAAAAAGAGTCGGATCGAGTTGAAATGTATAAGAAATAATTATTTGGTATGCCCGCACACGTCAGTTGTGTCAAACTTAAACTATACCCATTTCCCGACCACCTAGAGGGAGTAAAAGTTTTTTTGTTTTTCGGGGTTTTTAGCGGTAATTTTAAAACTTTTGGGTTGAAAATTTGGCAGTAGTTGGAACTCATATGTACCCATAACATATTAAACGGAAAAAAAATTCGGCACTACAGTTTCTTTTAACTGCCGGGAAACTGTGTTTTCGCAGATTTCGTATATTTTAACAAAAACACCTAAAATCTTTAAAAAAACTTGATCAAATCATTAAAACAATTTTATTTATATCTATGCAGAATGGTACTATTAGGTTTTGTGCACAAGTACCACTTTTTACTTAAAGTTTACGCAAATTCAATTTTTTTTTTTTTTTTTGTTTAAGTTCTTTCCGGATGATTAAAATTGAGAACTGATATTAAATTCGTAATCACCGACCCAAAAACATATAATTTGACCACTTTTGATGTCTTTTACACAAAAATCCAGAAAAATGTTTTAGCTTCGATGCAAAGCGAGAAGGTATTGGTTTTACTCTGATGTGGGCTTTTTTTTTCGCTGTATACACTGTAACTTTTTTAATACTTGACCAATTCCTTCGAATAGCAACTCTATAAATCACAAATTTTGTCTAGTTTGTACTTTGGGGGAGTAAAAGTTGAATAAGTTTAATTATTCACAGACGAAAGTTGAAAAAACAAAAAAAAAACCGTACGAGTTTTTAAGTTAGAACTTTTAATGGCTATAATTTCGAGAAAAAGAGTCGGATCGAGTTGAAATGTATAAGAAATAATTATTTGGTATGCCCGCACACGTCAGTTGTGTCAAACTTAAACTATACCCATTTCCCGACCCCCTAGAGGGAGTACAAGTTTTTTTTGTTTTTCGGGGTTTTTAGCGGTAATTTTAAAACTTTTGGGTTGAAAATTTGGCAGTAGTTGGAACTCATATGTACCCATAACACACTAAACGGGAAAAAAATTCGGCACTACAGTTTTTTTTTAATGGCCGGAAAACCGTGTTTTCGCACATTGGTCGCACAGGTTTAATCTTTAAATTGAATTTCCTCAAAAACATGATTCGTACTAATCGTGTGCAATAATTATAGGCTTATTTTAAGTACTTACATTATTGCCTTCACA